AAACAAACAAACAAACAAAAGAAAAGAACAATGACACACTGAAATTCGTAATTTTCTTTACTCAGCGACAAAATGCAGTGACCTGTCACCTCCTAAAGGGGGCGCAAAGGTTTGTGATGACTGGATAATGGGTTCGATCTGTTCACCTTCTTGTAACAAAAAGTGGGACTTTGCTCAGCCTTTGCTTTCGAGTGTGTGGGTTTGCGGAGCATCAGGAGCTTGGAAGCCAACAAATCGTTTTCCAGACTGTACAAGTGAGTAAATTATTGTTTGCATTCGTTTTCAATTTTTAAACTACAATAACAGAAATCACATAAAAGCCATTTACCAGGTCCTCTTCGTAATCGCTCATCTACATGTGTGGGGGACGTCTTTGTATGTGAAAAGCCGTCCACAGATGTAGCTGCTTTGACATTCTTCTGATTTTTGTTTTGACAATTTTCTCACATACTTTTTGGTTTGAATGATATTCAGCTCCTCGGTAACTTTGGATTGTTACTCTAAGTATATTCCTGCATGGGTTGAGACTTTTGTACTGGTTTATTTCATTTACGGAGGACCTAACGATGCAGTGGACTCCAAGATAGTGGATCCAATTAATGACGTCTTATACACAAAGAAGTTAAATCTCACGGAAGTAGGGCTCTCTGGGTGTGAAGCTCCCCGATTTACTTGAGTATTGAGCACTGATTTTAATCCAGTAGATATTTTCGCTTGCATGCAATTGGTGTTAACGCGTCGCGTGACTAAATATCCCTCGTCTAAAACTGAGGAATATCCGAGTGATATTCCCTAATTTTCATTGGATCTCGTGTATCGCAAAAAATAAATATATATTGAAGGATAATAAACACAGTATCCTCCATTTGACTCCAAAAATTATCCCTGCATATTATTTTTTCCCTATACATTATCTTCTCCTCGTGGCTCGCAGATTTCTTCGAGTTTCGCTCTCGGACAAATGTTCGCTTCTAATAACGTCCGAGGGCAGATATCCGGGCATATTTTCGCGCCAAATGGTTGCTTACAAAACATGAAAAAATGTGCTCATTGTACTTATTAGTTCAGTAATTGACATGAAATAGAAAGCAGACAAAAATACGAAAAACGTTAAATTTGTTTAGTTTTCTCCTGTCAATATTTATCAAGCCATAAATTCGGTCAGGATGGAGGTGATTTCCAGGTTATCAGTTAAAATTGCAGTCTCTCAACAGTAAGTTTCCAAATCTAGGATCTCAACCATCAGTTAAAAAACTGGTCATTTTGTTCAACTGACTTTCACAAATTTGGACCCATGTATTCTCTGCGATCAGTTAAGCCCCACTCAGACCCGCGGATAATGTAAGGAAGAAAACTAACTTTTTTTTGTCCATTAAACCTTTTGTAGAAATATATCACGCTTACGCTGTCAAGACGGAAATGGATTTGAACTACTACTATGGCAATTGTACTACACCAGAAGTTCAGGCACAAATAAAACAGAACTTTATCCAGCTTTTGAACGAGACTTTCTTCAACGAGGTCTGTCACTCCGCACTTAAAGACAAGTGCAAGGCTGAAAATGTGGAGGTCAAGTGCTCTGGGGTCGGTTTGGTCCCCAGTAAGCGAAAACGTTCAGGAGGTATGGCGAAGTAGCATAACGTTTGAAGAATCCAGAGACATTTCTGAGTGTAGCAACACGAGCCTTATAGGCGAGTGTTTCCACAGCTTTCTAAAAATGTTTTCCCCAAACTTTCGCGAGTGTTTGCATGACTCGATCTTAAAACCAGGAAATGTTTCCATTTCTCCTAGAAAACACTAAAAGGAAAAAAAGCACACTCTCTTTGCTTGCTTCACCTTTACGTCGACAGCTTGTGCTAGTACTGTTGTTCTATCAAGCTAGAGAAGTACAGCATTGAACGTGCGCTTTTTTTACAGCGTGCTTTCAAATAGATCCCAACCTTGTACATAATAGATTTGGAAGTATTCTAACCTTTGTTGCCTTTAGAAGTTTGGCTGACAGCCAGACAGCTAGACAGACAACCATATTTTCTGTCCATTTCTTACTGCCTTGTAGACTTACAGGCACATATTTACAATCACACTGATGTAAAGTAGAGTGTTATCCAGGGTCCGTCCTCAGTATAGTTACCAGCAGATCCTAAGCTTTGTTATTTGAATTGCTCGAGTTTTTAGTCTGATGACGCCTTAAATTTTATTTTCCAGACGATGACGGTTGTCATAGCAGCACTGGAGGATCAATTCTACGAACCAAAATTACTCTAAATATCGTCGGTAGGTTAATAATATTACTTTAAGGATTAACATTTTGGAAAAAA